AAGAAATAATAAAAATTACTAACAATAAATTAAAAATTAAAAGGCGCTCCGCTACTATAAACGTGTATTACGATAGTAAAGAACCCTTCCGACTCGCACTTGGCCGGTTATTTTTTACATTACATCGTCATTTAATAGAAACGGATCCAGTCAGTGAACGCAAATATTCACTGGATCCAAAAAAAATCCAAACGTTACAACGTAGGTAAATATGACATAATATTTAAAATCTTTTTAGTAGGTACCTACTGTAATGATTTGTCTGAGTCTGAGACAAGAATAAAATATCATATTTTTTATTCAGTAATACTTATTGAAGGTCATTTATACTTTTACTAAAAAAACCTTCGTCCTGGAAAGAACTAGCAACAAACCCAGCGGGATTCTTTTTTTAAACATTCAACAGTACAATATGTGTGTTTCAGTTTTATTTTTATCAGAACTTGTTTTCAGAATTTCGTTTTATTATCTATCTGTTTATTTGTATAGTCATCTTCGTCTCTATTTATCTGTAGAAATTTCATCTAAATCAAATTTGATTCTGAAAAATTGAAGCGGATAAGTTGAAACTGTGTATTTATTTAAAATATGTAAATAAAAATAAAATTTAAAAGATGTTTTCACACATTTGACTTATGACGTAAACATATTGTTCAAAATTTGAAATATAAAATAAAATATATAAGTAAGTCTAAATGCAATATTTACGTAATGTATAAGCGAAAATTAACGAATTAACGACAACCAAAGAAAAAAAAATCAAAAAGTTTATTTTTTTTATATTGCCGATGTGCTTAAACGGCAACGTTGCTAAAACTATTTTTTAATATTAATACTTCTTGAAACCCTTCGTACCTATATCGTTAAACTCTATTGTAAAATGATATAAAACAAAGTGTTAATTAACTATAGCTCATTAGCATTTTCATTATGACCAAAACCTAGAAATCTCAGTCTGATATTTACAATAATACACTAATAAACCTATAGGTAATGTTATTAGTGTATTATTGTAAATGCTAATAACAGTAGTATTTTACGTGTCTTTTACGAAGGACAATAATAAATCGCGAAATCTGCTTAGCAAGGCCTATGCAATAATGCGACAAAAACGCTGTTATTAACCTCTGCTGTTAGTATGTCCTAAAAAAAAACACTCGTCACATCACATTAAGCACACATCCGGATATCCACATTGTTTACACGTACAATTTGCTTGTATATACAGCCAGCAGTATTTAGGTAAAAGGAACTTGAAAATTTAAGCAAATTAAAATATGGGGCTTACTATAAACCTTTTTTTACGTTCCTTTACGTATGCCTTCACAGGATACTATCGTGAAATATTGATGTAATGCTGCTGTGTTTCGTATAGTGAGTGTAGAGAACCGGAGATCCCTTTTACTCGTATTGTCTCTCCTCGTGCATTCCATCTTATTCCTCATGTGTGACAATGCATTATCATTTGATTAATAATGATTTCTTATATTTACGCGAACACTACATATTTTTAAATAAAACCTGCTGTACTACCCTATGTCAGAGGAGTCACAGACAAGGTTGGCTACATCTTGAAGCGAGCTTCCATTAAAATATATTTCAAGCCGCTGAAGAAGATTGGTCAATTTTTACCATCCGTCAAGTGTCATATCCCTCTACAAGATGCAGGAGTGTACAAACTGGATTGTGAATGTGGTCTCTCGTACATAGGACAAACAAAAAGGTCTATTAAAACCCGCGTTAAAGAACATATAGCTGACGTGAAGCACCGACGTATCGGGAAGTCTGCAGTTTGTGAACATGTTCAAGATCGTCCCAGTCATTACATTAGATTTGATAGACCACAAATCCTCGCAAAAGAACACCGATTCCTCCCAAGGATGATTCGCGAGGCTATTGTAATTAAAAAACATCCTAATTTCAATAGAGAAGATGGATGGGTGCCGCCATCTGCTTGGGATCCCATAATTAATAAAATCAAATCCAAACCCAAGTATACCACTGCTAGACTTCAAGATACTGTAAGCTCATTCTGCGTAAATCGAACCAAAAACTAATATTAAAAAACTGAAGGTAGCCGGGCTAACTATGACAGCAGGACGTCAAACACCTCAGTCCCCCGTGACCACGGGTGCTTTCCAGCACCCGAAACGTCGGGAATATAAAAATAAGTTAATATACGTGATAAAATCCGTAAAATTAGTTTTATTTAAAAACATTTGATTAATTCTTAGGCGATGATAGACATATCTATGGGGCATAACATCCACGTGCCGTCGGGGAACTGTGTCTTTGTTTGTCGCTCTTACTATCGACTAAGATGACATGCCTCGTTTCCAATAAAGTTTACAGTTCTCTTCACTCGTCAAATGAATTTCGGCTGCATTATTCTGATATATTACGAAGATTACGCAAGCGTCGTCATGACCTTCCTTCGATCGAGCCGTTCAAATGGACGTAACTGTGTTGCAGTAATATATCGCAGTCGCAATATGGCTGCACCAAGTTACGTTTTGACTGCTATTATAAATTTTTATTATCACAGTCGTGATAATCTATACAAATAAATAAAATTGAAGTGTCTGTTTGTAACGTCAAAATAACAGCTTTTTACTAAATGCATATGAACGTATATACGGTACTTATAACAAAATCGCAATTTTTATATCTTTAGTCTGTCTGCCTGTCTGTTCCGGATAATCTCCGAAACTGGCAGATAGCTGATGTCATATATAGGAGTAACTTAGCTACTTATATTTTAGAAAAATAATTAGGGTTCCGCGCAACATAATTAAAAAGAAGTCGCGGTGGAACAGCTACTTTATAGTATGTGCGTTCGCTTTATTTCACTTATATTATGTAACCGTGTAAAATATCCACCGACATCAATAAACAGAAACAGAAACTTTTTTATTCAATATAGATTATAAATAATACTTATTGAAAGTCACTCTTAAAAATAAAATTATTATTCACAATTTTAAGTGCTAATTTATCACGTGATCGGAAGAGAAAGAAAAAATCATGAGTAATGCAAGTTCGCCACCTGGGATTTGAGTATTGCGGCGGATTATTTGCTCCATAGCTCTTTCAGAGATGAGAGAATTATGCTCAGTTGTGAGACTGGTATCTGGAGTATATAGGCTTTTATCTCTTTCAACCACGTAAGAGTTAGATATATATAAATATTACGTGGTTGTCTTTCCTGTTTTAACTCTCTCAAACATGAAAGAAGGTAGAGTTATCAAGAAGGTGTATAATAAGTGATCTGTGCCACTAGCCCTTTCCCACTTTTTCGAAATTTTGTAATTTTATTTAGTAAGTATTTAAGTTATAGGTATATAGGTAGGTAGGTGGTAGGACCGCCTTTCTGCGTTGGAGTTCGTCTTGGTAGCTAACATACTATTACCTGTTTCTACCGCCATTTATCAGTGCTTGTACTGCTGTGCTCTGACAGGTCTTATGTTTGAAGATTATAGAGATCCATTATTCATACAGGCTATGAAGCAGTCCTCTGAGGTGACAATGCATCTGTAACCTTTTTTATTTGAAGTCTGTCTGTCACTTGCCACTTCATTTGTATAAAAAAATATCAACAGTTTTAGCCTCACATCTGTATTTGAGGATTTAAAACTATGCCAAATTTCAATTGTCTATAAACCTCTGTGACAGACAGATAAACTGAGAATAAGGTAATTCTAAAGCGTTTTTACTGAATTTGACCATGGAGTGTTAAAATTACTGATTTTCGAATCTGAAAAATTCAGTTTATTATTAATTCTCTTACATGGTCTATGTGGTCTACAAATCGGAGATTCATTCTTAAATTAAGTTTAAAAAATTTAGTTATACATCGTCACATTAGAAAATGAAAACAAATTATAAGTAAATGAAATGAAGCAGAACATTAAATTATATTGCCAGGAGCAAGAAAATTTCGTGTTCTATCTTGTTTGACGAAACAGGTGGACGTTTAGACGAGATAAAAACCCAATGAATTATACGTGTTTTAAAATAAGAGCACTCATTTATTCCGTGACTCGGTTAAAGTCAACAATACTACACAATAAAACCATTGTGACCACGTAAAGTAGATTCTGTCTACTGACGGCAACGATTACAATAAGCAAGCAGCAATCATGAAATGATTACAGCATCCGGTATAAGCTACATTAGCGCATTTACTAATCAAAAGTAACAAGAACTTGCAGACTACAAATTTATAATGAGCTTCATATTCATGCCATTTTCAGAGTAATAAATGTATAGAAAAATATTTTTAAGAAAATTCTTAAAAAAAAACACGACTCCATTGAGCAACCACGGCTCCTCCATGGTACCTACCTTAATGAAGTGCTAAGTAAGCACTCGCCTTATTTATCACGATGCGCTAGCAACCCGGGTTCGATGCACACCGGTTCCATTGATATTGTTAATTGCAATTTTCTACCGACTTCAATTAGACTGTATGTTTTTTTTTTCTTGTGTGTGTTACCTCATAACTTCTTTCTAGGTGAACGTTTTTGATTTTATTTGAAAGCTGGTGCTTCACATGTGGTTCCATATAAATTCGATCAAGGTCTGAGCAATATTTTTTGAGTTATTCTCAATTATTTATATTGAAGTCGGTTGTACAAAATTTTAATTTTTAATTATAAGTCCTGATTTTCTACCTGTTTGACGGTAAAGAAAATCGTTGTGGGAAAACCTGCATGTTTAAGGAATTTGGAAGACATATGAGGTCAACAAACACACACTTGAGCAGCGCAGTGGATTACTAATTGCCCCATAACCCTCTCAGAAATGAGAGGCACTTTACTTTTTCACAGTACGTCTAGATATTCTCAACCTGAAATTTATTGCATTAATTAAGTATCACATGTACGGTGACTTTTTGTAATGCTTAACAACTTCATAGAATAATATTTCAGTGCCCTTATAATAACTGTTTTAGTGTTAAACATATTGATATTTTTGTTTCAGATACTAATCAGACAATCATGACGAGCGATAATAAAACAACGAATGAAGAAAATATCAAATCCGTCGACAAAATGGCTATAAGCAATAGTAATGACTTAAAACCGACAAGAAGTAACAGTATTAAAAAAAGCGCAAAAGGAAAAGACAATATGCAAATAAATAAAGATAAATTAAGTGGGGACAATTGGGCCGAATTAAGTTTTTTCCAAAAGTTGCGACATATGCTCTCCTTAATCACAGTCGAACCAATCCTAGCATGTTATGTGATGCCATCGGTTTTGTCTGGTTTAGCTACACAAAATTTATATTTGGAAAAGGCTTGTCGCGTGAATTTAGGCTATGAACACCATGTTTGTGATGCACTTACAAGAAGACAGACGGAAAATTATACGTTAGAAGAAGAGGCAGTGCAAACTCTTGTCGCATCAATAGCGGGTTGGAAGACCGTATTACAATCGTTTTTGCCTTGCGGAATTTTGATATTTCTGGGAGCATATAGTGACAAAGTGGGACAAAGAAAATATTGCATGCTCTTGCCAATTATTGGAGAATTTTTGACTAGTATAGGACTTATAGTAAACACTTACTTCTTCTACCAGTTGCCTGTAGAAGTGGCAGCAGTGACAGAGGCAATCTTTCCAGCATTAACTGGCGGTTGGTTCACTATGTTCATGGGAGTATTTAGTTACATCGCAGACGTAACTACAGAAGAACAAAGGACATTACGTATTGGTATCGTGAATCTGTTTTATTCGTTGGGTGTGCCAGTAGGTGCTGCGCTCAGTGGGATTTTGGTTAGAAAAATTGGCTTGTATGGAGTCTTTTCCTTGAGTGCATCACTGTACACTTTGAGTTTCTTTTATGGATTCTTCAGAATAAAGGAAGTAAAAAGAACCGATTTGAATGCGGTAAGTATGTTATAAGCAATAAACATTCATCATATATGTTGATGATTGACTTGGCCATCGCATGAAAACACAATGTATCTCTCAAGTAATACATATTACATTAAATTAGATTGTTTAGTGCGATTGCCAAGTCAATTTATTTATTTAAAACATAAAAGAATTTTAATATTGATATGGTCACTATAAGATGTTGTTAGGTTAGCTAATTACGTAATAACTTAAGACAGAAGGACCCTTAAGTAGGGAGTGAATAAATTAACCGACTTTACATGGATCTCAAAACTTTTTACGGTAGAAGAACTGAGTGGCGAGACTTGGTTTTTTTACAAGTTATGTTTTTAATGGCATCTCATTTCTTTTTGTAGATAGTTATATCTAGGTACCTATATCTAGGTACCTATCTACACCTATTATTCCATTATATTATACATATATAGGTACACTGATTCATTCACTGCAAATGTAACTTTGTAATCCTATATATTTATATGGGATTACAAAGTTATTTATGCAGTTGGTGTATCTCGAAAACTGGACCGAAATTGCAAAATATTTTAATTTTTCCTTAATTTATGTACTAAACAATAGTTGTATTCCAAATTTGAAGCTTCTATGTCTGCTAGAAATGCCTTAGAGTTTTGATGATCGGTCAGTCAGTGAGTGACAAAATTAAGAAACTTTGACTAATTATAACTCTTAAACTACTGGTTCAAATTTAATAAAAATTGAAATATACCGAATTTATACAATGCCTACTTGGTTACTGAATTTGAAATTCAGGCTTGTAGTTTTATCCACAATGAAGTTATAGGATTACGAAAATGGCCTGAACTGCTTCGAGAAAAGGATGGTATGGTACGGCCATGCCGCTTTTTTGCTCGACTTGGCGGCAAAATTTAAGAATTCTACATAGACCATCAAGTCATACACACACTTGTTTGTAGTAGGTATGTATCTTAGTACTATGGAGACGGGCATTGTAATGCATAAAAACGTCATATCATCCAAAATCATATCGTTAAGAATTTTTTACGCATCTTTCCACAGTCAAAATGTCACCTTTTAGAAAATGCATACGAAAGAAGCACCTTTTTACCGCCGATAATAATCTATCTGACTCTTAACCATTTATCAAACCTCCTGTATAAGTGTTTGCGTGTCTTGCAATACAACACAACAAAACTCTAGTTTAGGGTTGTGTAGCTTCATATACGGTTGCAGGTTTAAATTTCTTGAAATTAGCATCAATAGATCTTCATCGTCATGTGAAAATTATTATCACAGTGCAAATAATTTCGGAGCCTTATTGAAAGGTTCCCGCTTAACTAGATCTTTTTGACCTGCGTTGGTTAGGTTCAGTTTCTCGGTACCATTGAACGTTATTGGCTTACAACTGACCGTTAGTCTTGTAGTACTGTGACGTAACGACTCTAGTACTTTTATAAGGTGCACTATTTTCGATATAAATGATGCGACACTATTTCCTTTTTGAACTAAAAACTGTTTACCAGGAATAGGAAATCTTTTTTATATTTTTTTTGTGACAGAATATCAGACGAACAAAAGATTACAGAACAAAAGATTACGAACAAAAGGTTACAGAACGAATACAATTCAAGTGACGTCAAACCATGCCTAACATATTGTAGGAACGGACACTCATACACAAGCTCTCACATTTCACCTTAAATCATTTGCAAACAACAATAGGGTCTTAAGGTGCTTTTCATTCTTTGTTGTTATGAAGCTAGAGTATAAAACAGAACAAAAGCAAGGAATCGATGTTCTTTTGCGAGGATTAGTCGTCTATCAAATCTGATGTAGTGGCGGGTGTGATCTTGTAGGTGTTCACATACTGCAGTCTGAAGTCTGAAGTCTGCAGACTTCCCGGAGTGATTTTTTAGTCACATCAGCTATGCGTTCTTTTATGCGGTAACTATACGCGATAAAATCCGTGAAAACTAGCTGCATATAAATGTATAGTGTTCGCGTAAACACAAGAAATTATTATCAAAACAAACTGTTCGGTTTATTGGTTTAGTGTTGAAATTTCGATTACACACAATTAGCTAACTTAAAGGAGAAATGAAGAGAAATAACAATTCACGTGCGTCCCACTGCAGGCTCATGTCTCCTTTCAACAAAACTATTTAAACTTTTTTTGGAACGGGAAAGAATCCGCCACATATCCCCTCTGCGTGTTGGCGAACTTTGATACGAAATAATGAAAACAAAAAGACTTTTGGTATTGTTTTAATAGTCAGTTAATACCTTTAGGTTTGGACTTGTTTTCATTTATCATCACACAAAAAGAGAAACCAAAGAAGTTTTAAAATAAATATTATAAAATATTGTGGAATGCATACAAGATAAAAATAAGTTTATAACAATGCCGGTTGTCTTAGTTATTGACTTTTTCTGATAAGTTCAACGTCGGGAGATTGTCAAAATTATTAACCCAAATAATGTAGGAAGTCTGCACCAGTCTGCACATTTAAGAAATTAAAATATTAACCTTACCCTATACATATATACATTGAAGATGTTGTGAGTGTGAGTTTCCATAACACTGGTGGTATAACACGACTGTTTCACATTATTTTATAACATCTTGTGTACATTATGGTTTAGCAATAAATGTTTGAGTTTGAGTAAAAAACTATGTTGATATTCATTTCGATGCACGTAACGTTAAGCGCTAAAGCGGCTAAAATATCTTGTAGTTTTTTATAACGTTCTTATTATTTACTTTTCATGTTTATTATTTATTGTCATTGTCTACATGCGCATGTATTTAATAGGTACGAAAGGCGTACCTACAATGTTACGTATCAATAAATTCATTACAGCATATTGAAGTCCACTAATGAACATAGGCCTACCCCATAGATTGCCTCAACGGTGGGACTTAAATCTTAGTAGCCACGCTAGGCAAGCGGGTTCAGTAACGGTAAGTATGGGTGTTGGATTCTCTTAAGTAGCACTCTTAAACTAGGAAAAACTACTCCCATTTACTTATTAATTAATTTAAAGACAATTTTTATAAATATATTTTTTATACTTAGCAGGACAAATAGGCCGTATGATGAGTACATATGACGATCCAACATCCAATGTCATCTTTTGGTAAAATTATAGAAATCCTTAGCGCAGTCGTTACGGCCGTGAACAACTATTAACACAATCAATTATATAATCGGTTCCAAGTTCAATGGTTAAATCAGGTCATCCGAGCATAACAATACAAAAAGTCCGTCAACTTGACACAGATTTGTGTTACACTCGGTTGATAGAAGCCTTAGCCTTTGGAATTTTAGTACTTGTTTCATAGATAATATACGTAACAGAACATTATGCGTTTTTTTTAAATTACCATAGTTTATAGAATCATGAAGTAGATGGTTTTCGCAGAAAATTTGTGGAATTTTAAAAAAGACAAATTAATATACTTGAGATTTTTAGGCTGCCATTGTCATACAAAGAACCCCTATAATTGTACTTCCTGTTGTTTGATCCACTGAGACAACTATGAGTGATATCAAAAAGATCTCAAGGACACCGATTGTAGCCTGATATAAATATCCGGACCCGCAAAAGAAAGTCAGGTCAGACGAATTGTTCGGTACTCAGATGGCTAATCTTCATAACGGCAAATCCTTTCTTCTATAGAAGAAGAAGTAGACAATCTCCATTATTTGACTTTTCACAAGCTGATCAAGTAGTTCAAAATTTTGTATATAAATTATACCTGTATTATTTTAATTTTATTAATTATTTTAACCTTTTGCATTTTAACACATTACACCGACAACTTACTATTTGCCGTGTAGTGGCAGAGTAGGAGAATACATTACCCCATTTCGCCCTGTGGGTGTCGTCATGGTAGTCGCAGACATTAACAAAGGCAAATAATGTTGTAACTTTTATTTACTAGAATGAACCATCGAGCTTAGCACCCTTTCTGACTTAGCAGTTTACTTGAATTTCAAATTAATACTCTACTCCTCTCGGGTTCGCCGGTGACCGGTGTTGCTCGATGCATCAATGATACACTATTGCAATTCGAGTTCGTTGTAAAAACATCAGAAGTAGGTATATTACATTGTTAGCATTTTATTAATTAAGTGCATTGATAATGTTTTAATTGCTCTGTGAGCATGAAACAGGTATTTGCACGGCCTACAAATAATTGTAAATGGGGTCTGTACGTGTATACTTATGCAATTTATGTATGTACTGTCTCCACGATACAGGAGAAAATCCTAGGTAACGTTCTTTAAACCTACGCCAATGGTTTGGAAAGAGCACCCGTTCTTTATTCAGAGCCGCGGCATCAAAGATTCAAGTTGCCTTAATGATCGCCGACCTTCGAAAGAAGATGGCACTTTAAAAAGAAGAAGAGGAACGTTCTTTAAACAAAAACAAAAATCAATGTGAGAAAATATTTGATAATTTTTAAACATTGCGCGCGCAAGTGAGCATTAAGGAAAATTAAAAATTGCGGAAGCGCAACTTATAACGACTGAACTGATGTGTTAATTATTTCTTTGTACAATATTGTTATACCTTGACCTTCAAAAGTTGCTAAAATAATTTAAAAAAATTTTAAACTCTTACTGCACATATAACACAAAGCAAATTAAGATATTTCACGTACTTACCTACACAAATTTTATTTTCGAACAACACATGAACATACTTAATTCAAAAGTTTTCAAAATTACGGGCCCCAAAAAACGCTGTGAAAATTAATATACCCCCATTAGAAAGGATACTACTAAACGGCCTCCGACCCCGGCGGCCCCGCTATTCCTGGCTACGTTGGCGACCATGGTAACGGCGGGGCAGGGGGTACTAAGAATCTCCGATGGAGGTTCGGCGCCACCTACGACGACTCGACCTGGCAACTTATAACGCACGCACCCTGAGGTCTGACGAGAAGGTTGTTCTATCATCATATCATGTTCTATCACCGGGAGGGCAACCATCTGTCCCAAGGG